GCTGTTTTACCCTATTTTGTGTTTCTCTAACTGAATACCAAAAGCTAGGGATGTAACAGAAAATGCATCTATTTGTTTCTGCTCTGGGTTTGAGGAATCCTAAGAGCATGTTACTATAATTGGACCACATCTCCTGAGGGTTTTCTTTGTGTTTCAAAACATAATAGAAGATATGACATTCTGGTATTGACAGTTAGTCAGATCTTCTATTTTTGCCTGTAACTATAAAGCTAATGTGTCTCATGGGGGCCTTCCCATAATGATCTCACATAACCCTAACTACCTCCCAAACACAATACTATTGAATTACTTGACCTGAATTTGAACATAGATTCTCCAACTCTTACATTTGGCATGATGCACTCATTCAGATAATGCCCACTCTTTCTTACCTTTCTTCTCCACTCTTGAGCTACATATTGTGTCTTGTTCATGTGTATTCTTTCTTGCTAGTTCCTGCTATGGTTGGTGCCACACAGAGATCTCCTTCTGGTCAATCTTCACTGGTTACAGTAGGTTGATCCTCTCCCTCTTTTAAACATAAAGAATTTTCACAGCAACCAACAAGGACAGTCTGATTATGTGTTTTCTATTTTTTTGGTATGCAAATTTCTAATTACTTCCTCTTCCTTACATCTGATCCTGTTGTTTAACAATTAGTTGCTAACCTTTACCAGTCACTACAAATTCAGGATTTCCATCTTCTACTCATTAAGACATGGTCCAGTTAGAGAACTTAACAACAAATACCATTCTGACATTGCAAGTTGTTAGGGCATTTCCTCATCAAGTCCTATCATCCTCCACACTGGTGATGAAATCAGTTTGTCTGAATCATGCCTAGACCTTTGTATTTCATTCAAATGTTATAGATAAGCACCCAGTCACAAAGCATGTTCCTGCCTAGTGCTTTGATACACTGAGCAGGCTCAATAGACACATATGTCTGATTGTCCTAGACTTCCAGGAGAAAACATGGGCCTGCCTTGTGGTGTTAGACAGATGGAGCATTGTTATAGAGAGCAAATATCCAGTGTGTTAAGGGGTAGAAAGAAACAAAATGGTTCATTGCTTATTAGACAGAGGCCTATCTGAAGAAGTGAAAGCATTGAGCAGCAGGTTGAAGTGGGTGACATGATTGCTACTTAGTGTCATGGTAATTTCTAGGCCTGGGCTGCTGCTGAGACACATGCCTAGATTTATGGCCTTGATGTAATGACAGTCTGTGTTGATGCCTGATGTCTTTGATACCACCAGAGAGGAGAGGGTTGCACAGAGTTGGCCTTGCCTCTCTTGTGTGCCAAATGGTAGCATGAGTAAGGGAAAGATCAACTCCTCCCTTTGTCCATCAACACCACAAAAGTTCTGAACCTGATTCAATGAGATGCTTCCTCCTTGATCTGTAGTGTGGTGGAGGGGTTGAGGGAAAAATGCCCTCTCTGCTTCCAATACTGCTACAAGCTGTCGAGGGGCCTGACCCCTGTACCAGTTGCAGCACTCAGGAAAAGCAGACCCATCTGAGTATGGTAGTTGGCCCCTCTGAGTATGGGAGACCTGGCACCTTCCCTCATCTGCCATAGGTCAGAAACAGCTGACCTGACCAAGTAGGAGGGCATAGACATCAGTCTGAAAGATGGGGAACCATGATAGGTCTGAATCAGGCCCCCTGAGTGTGGGCATCAGTTGGGAGACCAGCACAGTCTATGGGACATCTGGCAGTGGAACCAGTATTTATTCCTAGTGCACAAATGGACTTGGGAACCCATTCATTATGGAGCGATACTCTCTCAACCTAGATACATGTGGGAGGGACTAGACCCTGCCCAAAATGATGTGACAGACTTTGATGTGAGGAGTGAATGGGGAAAAGAATGAGGGGTTGTTGGGGGGAATGAGAGTTTGAGAGTGAGAGGAAACTGTGATTAGTATGTAAAATAAGAGTGTTTTTAATTTAAATTAAAAAATAAACTAAAAAACTTGAGAGCTAGGTGTCATCCTTTAAAACATTTATTTAATATTTGTATGGTTTCTCTATAAATTGTCTTCTAAACGGGTTGTGTATGAAAGGCTTGGTACTCACCTGTTATATCCAGTCATTGAGAAGTGAGAGCACCATGACATTTCTAACGTAAACACTAGGTAAAGCCATTTTTGATTCATAAAAAATGACATTATCATGAGGTGATAGAAATCAAGAGGTGGAGAGTGGCATGAGGAGACAGGTCATGAGAGTGATACCTTTGAAATATCACTTGTCTTAGGTGTTACTCTCCTCTCCTCTTCTTTCCTTCTTTTATTCAGTACTCTCTCTCTCTCTCTCTCTCTCTCTCTCTCTCTCTCTCTCTCTCTCTCTCTCTCTCTCTGTATTTTGTGTTATATATCAACTCTCTCGCTCTGGATATGATGTAAGATATCAATCCCATGTCTTCCTGCCCCCATGCTTTCTACCAGGAAAATGATGGGCTAAACCTCTGAAAATGTAAGCAACCACCCAATGGCTTCCCTTTATATGAGATGAATTGGTCATGGCAACTCTTCACAGAAAAGAACATATAAAACTATAAAACAGGTTTATTTCCACCCAAACATCTCTGAGATTATTGGTTTTTAGACTATCTATTGTGGTCTACAAGACTTTGTTCCTCATGAAGCTCTGTGTTCTACAGTGACTAATCAAATAGTTTTTATTAGATATATTAATTAGATAAGATATCACAATATTTCACATGGCAAATTGCTTTCCCTTCCACAAGTCCTAAATTCTATTAAATACTATAAGATATAAAGCATAGAAAAGATGTCATGGTGACACAAATTATATCCCTCAATGAAGATAGAGTGAGGTTTCTCAGTATTCAAAGTTCAAAGGCCAATGGGGAGACATCAGAGTAGAATGCATGCCATAAAGAAAAGAAACCAGATGTGCTGTTGAAGATACACATAAAGGTTGTGTGTGTGTGTGTGTGTGTGTGTGTGTGTGTGTGTGTGTGTGTGTGTGACCTTAAGTCTAACTTGTAGATCCCAGATTTTTTGGATTTGAACTGCAGGGTTGGCTGGTTCAAGGGATTTCAGAGAATTTTAGTATGTTATCTACAGATTGTTCTTGTGAAATTTTGATAAAGAATGTGGCTGGTTTTTGCCATTGTCCCAAAAAGTTTGCCTGAGGCTGCAGTGATATTTTTTTGTTTTTTTTTTTTTATTAAATCCATTGACAGAGGTAATCTCAAAAACAGCATTATATAGACTCTGTCATGTGCTTTTTAATGGTAACTCTAATTAAGATATGTAATGATAAGGAGCAACCTGAACAAGACAAAATATACAATGTAGACTAATATGAAGAACAACAGGAATTGTAATGGAGTTAAGTCCTGTGTTCAAGGAGATGAACAGATTAAGAAATGGAATAAAAAGAGTAGTGACCTCAGGGCAAGATCTTACCAGCTAAATTCCTGACTTGTGAGAGGAATTAAAGACATTTTAGAGCCTGGTGTGGTTGTAGAGGCCTTAAATCCCAGCACTGGGAAAGCAGGGGCTGGCAGATCTTTGAGATTGTGTCCAGTTTGATCTATAGAGCAATTTCCCGGAAAGCTAAGCTTAGGCAGTGAAAGAAATCATGGAAAGCAGAAAGCTGGTGAAGATGTAATTCAATGAGGGGGGGTTATGTTTCAGTCCCAAAAAGCAGCAGAATTTGGCAGTTTGTCCATGTGATTCTGTCTTTAGAGTCAAGGAAAGAAGACAGGGGTTATAGAATATTCTTCTGAGACTAAGGAAAGCTGGTGAGGGAAGGCTTGTGTCAGGGGTGTCCATGAATGAAGCCCCAGAGAGGCCATTGCATGAAGCTGTAAAGTTGAAACCTGTCTACTCAATTATTGAACAGTAAAAGTGCCTTGAAAATAGTATCAGGTGGGTCTTTAGTAAGGAAGCAAACAGTTAATTTGTAAAGCATGCATGATAGGGCAAACACACTTACTTTGAGAATTCTGTTTCAAAGGTTAACCCTTTTTATTAGCAATATTTGTAGAATCACATGGTTGTGGTGTCTGTCTAGAAACAGCTTAGAGACTGAGCTTCAGTGGACAGCAACCCCAGGAGGTTTTGGTTTACACCTGGAGCACTGTGAGAGGAAGCGCTAGACCTTGCTGACAGTAATAGGTTGCAACATCATCAGCCTCCACAGGGTGGATGGTGAGGGTGAAGTCTGTACCAGACAAACTGCCACTGAACCTGGCAGGGACCCCAGATGCTAGTTTGGATGCATCATGGATGAGGAGTTTGGAGAGCTGTCCTGGTTTCTGTTGATACCAGTTCATAAGAGGAATACCAACTGTATTGACACTCTGGCTGGCTCTGCAGGAGATGGTGTGACTTTGCCCTGGAGACATAGTCAAGGAAGCTGGAGATTGGGTCAGCACAATGTCCCCAACAGAACCTATGGTGATAGGATATACTGAAAGCACCCCAATGTAAAGGCATCATATATGTGGAACCTGTAACAGCAGTCATGAACTATACTCTGAGAAACATAAAATAAAATGGAAATTTAAAACCAATTAAATGCCATAATTTCATTGGTCAGGATACCAAGTCATAAAATTCAATAATGGCCACAGTGAGTTTTCCCAATATTACAGTCTCTCACCTGGAACTCCGAGCAACAGTACCCATAGCAAAAGAGCAGCTGACCCCATCTCTGAGACCTGGACTAGAGGCTGCTTCTTGGGTCCTAGCAAACTGCCTTTAAAGATGGCTGAACTATCTGCACTGTGGCTAATGTCTCAATATGCAAATCAGCTCAGAAGAGCTTGACTTGATGCTCACAGGACACCTGCTCTTGTGTAGCCCTATGGCAGTTAGGATTAACAAAGAATCCCCTTGAGTATTTTAGTGTATCCCAGGTGATTTTGTAACAGGCCCTGTGGAATCATCATGTTCTGTTACTGAGAGGTTTTATGTGGGGAGAGCACTGTCACTGCTGTGCTGTAAAGGGTGTGAGTTGCAAGATCACTGTGATCCCTCAAAATTAAACTTTTATTTATTTGTATTTTCTGTGTATTGTGTTTTGTCTGCATCTATGCCTGTGCATCGTGTGTGTGTG